AACAGTAGAGTAATTAAAGTAGAAATCTCAATCAATAAATGAATCTGTAATATCTAAGGACTTATCCTGATTGATTATTGTTTTCAACAAACAAACAATATTAACATCAAAACTCTTAAGCCTTTAAAACACTCTCTTGCGCTTTTGGGGTTGTTAAACCCTCGAACATTCCAAAAACACAAACTCATAGGGAAATAGAAGAAGCACTACTACTAGCTACAGCACCCTCAACACTCATCCCCATAGCCACACTTAGTTTACCCTTTTTCTCGTTTTTATCTTCCTGAATCAGGGACCTATAAACCTTATCAAAAATAGTACATGCCTTGTCACTATCCATTAAGGTCATAACTCTAAAATCAAAATCACAACTTTCTCCTCAGAAGGCCTTCCTCTGCCCCTCCCATTCTTCTGCATTGATTAGTGAAGAGATGAAAATTCTTGACTAGCTGCCTCATTTATAAGCTTCTTTTTCTCAACACCCTCAGTCTTAACTACATGATCATTCACTGCCTCCTGCAGAATAGAATCAATAACATGGGTAATATGATCAAATATTTCAATATCCTCACCATCAAACCCATTATTCACAACATGATCCTCCAATTACTCAATTCCTATAGTCCCAGACGACTCACCCAATGCAAGAATGAAAATTGGATCATCTTGATCATTGACAACAGCCTTTTACTTCCAAACCTTCTTCCCCTCCTCCACAGGAGCAGTTGGACATGTTCTATTCATATGACCAAATGTCCTACACTTCAAACAACACGGTGACATCCAAATAGTGATCTCCCTAACCGAAACAAAATTACCATCTTGAATCATTACCTTAACTTCCTTTAGTAAAGCACAACATGCAGTGCGCTCAACACAGACCATAGCATATTCTAGTCTCTCTTTTGTAATAATAATTGAGTCCGTGCACTGAGGTTTGCCTAAGGCACTAGCAATATAACTCAATCTCAACTGTGAGTATAACTCCAAAGGTACATTGAATAGTTGGACCCATATAGGCATGCTAACCAAATGAAAATCAAGCCTCTAAAGGTTTGGCTCCCATTTACGAAGAATCAGAGTCTTATGTTGTATATGTCATGGACCACCCTCTCCCTCGTCGCAACATTATCAAAACGAAATATGTAAACATTGGGACCAACAAGACTTACTTGGACAGTAGAAGATGTCCCCCAAATCATCTCCACAATTCTCTGCGTCACACTAAATTTTGGTGCTGACCTAATGAATTAACCCACTAATGCATACTTCTAATCCCTCGATCTAGCTTCAAATGCCTCTATCGGTAAATTGAAGAATGAACTACCCTCATGCAAGTGGAGCAGATGAAAATCCAAACCCTTTCCCCCCTCCATCAAACAGCTTACGCCAATCAACTGACGCTGAAGAAACCATAAAGACTCATGAATCAATGAACAAAAGGCAATCATGTCGATGAAGATCTCAGGCCTCATTAGTCCTGCTAACAGTGCTAGAGCTCATGGTGCCAATATTTTTTCCTTAAGAATATCATTGTTGATTTGAGTTTACTAGGGAAAAATTACTTTTTAAGCCAAAATATAATTATGTGTTTGACTAAAGGGCTAGAATAATAGAGACAAAACCAAAATTTTAAAAGGGACCAAAACTGAATTTTAATTTTTTTGAAGGAGCTAAAATGTTTAACTTTTATAACGTTATGAATTTTAGAATGATTAAAACAATAATTTTATGGTGTACTAGTTATAATATTTTATTTTTAAATGATTTATGCACAATAAATTACTTTTGGTGGAGGATGAACATTCGGGATTCCGTTTCTCTCATTTGAGGGAAAATACTAAAGTTGGTGATTTGTTGAACACAAGAACAGTTTCCGTCAATCCATCGGTGAGAACGAACAAAACATGAGAAGACAGAAGAGTAGTGAGTGAAAACCTTTGAGAAGTCGGTTGATTCGCCGGAGACACTGTAGATTTCTCAGAACCCATTAGTCCCTCTAATGTGCGCTCAGAGAACCCTACAATCGTGCGCCGTCAGAGAACCCATTTTCTTGTCTTTTATGTATTGCAGGTAGAAAAAAGATCTTTAGTGATCATTTAATTGCGATTTGAAGAATTTTGTCATACAAAGTATATTATTTAATGAATAATTGTGACTTATTTTTATTTAGTCACTCATTAGGTAATAATTGTGATAATTTCAAAGTATATCGCAAGTAACTCGTTACTAATAATATTTTATTGTGATCAAAACAAATTTTCATAATCAATTAGTCACTAATAAAATGCTCGAATTGACGTCATCTTATTTTTCTTTGGAAAATTATAATAGTGACAATATATTATGTAGTCACTATTATTATTCATAATTGTGACGAAAATATTGTCACCCGTCTTCGTTGATGATTATAACGGCAATCATTCTTGTCACTATAAACTTTGACAGTGGCATTTAATCTTTAATTATGATTTGTTTTCTTTGAAAAATTGATTTATTTTTATTTATAATTTATGGTTTTTATTGAGATATATGTGAATTTTATAAATACCAACTAATTATTAGTATATTATTTTTTAATTTAGGACTTCCTCCATAAGGGTTAATACATTGTCAGATATTTATATTTTATTTTATAAAATAATTTAAGGACACTTAATATTATTTTAGGTTTGAATCTTAATATTTATATGTTTATATTTTAAGATCAACCTAATTATTTTTTTTTATTTTTCTCCCAAACGTATTTCATACTTATGAAAATCGTAGAAATTTTAATTAAAGTATTATTATAATAACTAATTTTATAATTAATTTTTTTCATAAAATAAATAAAATTAATTACAAAAATAATTTAACCTAAATATTACTATTTTTTTGCCAAAAAACAAATAGTTTAACCTGAAGATCCCAAGTCCGATCATCTTAAAAGTCATGTATTGTATTAATTTATTAAAAAAAACAACATGTGAAACCAATAATTAGTTAGTCTAGCAAGATGAGATAGTAGATCCCTTAAGTAAATAGGGTTGGAAGGGTCACCCTCTCTTATGTAGTACTCGATTCTGATTAGTGAATTGATAAATCGGATACTGATGATTATACAAATGATAAATATGTAGAGACATCACATCATCCATCGTTAACGAATAATTAATTAATGACAATTATTGCAATGCAAATTCCTAAAAAATGAATACAATTAAAAATATATATATATATATATATATATATATATATATATATATATATACTAAAACTTGTTTTATAATGAATTATTTAATTAATTAATTTAATTATGTAATTGCAATAAAATATTTGTAGTAATAGAGATAATATTAGTATCTAAATTTTCGTCATTGTTATTAATTTTTGTGTCAAAAAATATAGTCACAAAAACACAAGTAATTGTTATAAGATTCATTAATGTCGTCACCAGTATAATGTGACAGAGTTATTAGCGACTCGAAAATTTTGTAACTATAAGATTTAATGATTGAATTTGATACCGAAAATTTTGTAACTATAAAATTTAAAGATTGAATTTGATACTTTTAGTGATCATTCTTAATGTGGTTGAAAATACAATTTATGGTGTCTATTGACTTAAAAGAAAATGAATTTACGTATCATATTGGGGAAAAATATTACAAACAATTAAAATTGAGTGGTTTGTGTACGTTTAGAGATGGGATGTTAGAGTATGAATTAAGTGATCTCAATAATTAAAGAGTTGTTTTATTTTTTGAGATATCAAATTCAAACATTGTGTATGCAAATGATATAAGTATTTGTTATTAAATAATTGAGAGTCTTTGAATAAATAATATCTTGTATTCACCCAAAATTTATAGAAAAAAAGAGATGAGATATCGGAAAAATGACTATTAAGACTGATAATGTTAAATAAATTACTTCATCAACGATGAAGCGTTGTGACTTAAGGAGAATGGATAAAATAGTCATCTCCCATATAAATTTTAAAAAAAAATTATAAATTATAAATATTTTTAATAATAATGTATTTTCAATTTTATATTTTCTTAAGTTTATTTTTTTAAAATTTTATAAATGTATCTTTTAAAATATAATTAAAATTATATGTATTTCTCTAGATACTCTGTTGGTAAATCGTTGTTCGAAGAACCGCTTAGTTATATTGCTATCTTTTACAACTAGAAACTGCCTACAGTATCTATGTTATTTAATATAATAAAAAAATGCGAAATGAAAATTAAGAGTAATAACAACATTCTGTCCTTTTAAGAAATTAAATGCCCATCAATCCTATGTGGCTAAACAAGAATCTTCCATCTTTCCCCCCTTCAATTGTGTCCTAACTCTCCCTTTTACACGCGGATAAATTAAAAATCATAATTCTATTAAATTATTTTTTCTTCAACAAGTTATATATATATATATATATATATCCTATAATGCAATTTTTCCATAAAACCATTTTATTGTTAAATTTGTAAAACAAGTTATTTATAATATAAAAACATAAATAATCAAATGTGTGCATATAACAGCATAAAAAAGTCATGAGATACGATTGGAGGATAATCTCGTAATTTTAGTTTCATAATGGTAATATTGTAATTTCGTTAAGCCCAAGGGTCAATTCTCAACCCCTTTCTATAAATACATACAATGAAACAGGCCTTTCCTTTCTATCAACCATTTTAATTTCTCTCTTCTAAAGAAATTCTCTCATTCACTCGCCCTCTTTCTTTTCTTCTTCGCTTTTATTCTAAAAGCCAGATTCCGGCCACTGTCGTTTTAGTCAATTAATTTTTTTTTTTTACTTTTTAAAAGTAATTCTTTGTTTCTCAAGTATATACTTTTTTGTAATTTTCATCCGTCACTGTTTTTCGTTTTCAGTTTTTTACCCTTGGCCATTTTTCTGCTCATTATTCACCAAAATAACTTTTTTTTAATATTTTAAATAAAAAGGGGTTTATTTTAAAGAAAATTGTTCCGTCCTTTTTATATTAGATTTTTTCTGATGTGGCATGTACAAAAAGGGCGGAATAATGAACACCAAAACGGTGCGGTTACCACCACGTCGGGTTTCCATGCCCACCAACAAGCGCAAACAGAGAGACGATTTTGACCTAAAACGATTAAACCCCCCACTCATGAAGTTACCCAAGCCGGCTCTCCCTTTAGCCTGCTCCGACAAAGCCACCCAGCCGGCTCTCTCCAACCAGCTTCTGGCTGGATACCTGGCTCACGAATACCTCACTCGTGGGACGCTGTTCGGCCAAACGTGGGTCCCGGCTCGACCGCCACAAACGGCCGCCGAATCCGGGAGGGGAATCCGAGAAGACTTGGATCTAAACGAGAGATCCGTACCCGGAAAAGCCAAGCGTGAGCCGGAGCCGAGGGAGGAGAAGCGCCGAAGGTACGTTGAAGTGGCTAGCTTGCTGAAGACAGATGGGGCACACATACCGGGCATCATTAACCCAAGCCAGCTCTCTCGTTTCTTACAGATGTGAGGTTGTTTTCTTACTCGTGGAGACACCTCATTGGCCACAATTTTTCATTATCTTTTTAAATATTTTTTAGACGTATTTTTATCCTTTTTCTCCTCGCTTCTGCTGGACAAGTTCTCTGTGCAGTACGTAGCCTCCGCTCAATACTTTAGTTTTTCTTCCTTTTCAAAAATGAATGTATGCATGAGAGATTCATGGATACATGCATGTAAATCCGATGCTCTTAGTGTATGATCTGACTGAAAACTGCAATAAATTCTGAAAATGTTTGCTTTCATTTTGGACCATTAAAGGTGAATTCCCATGCATGGACTTCCTGCTTTCAGTTTCTTGTTATCTTTTGATTTGCCAAATTGCACTTCTGCTACCACCTACCATTAATTGCTTTGATACGTAAATGGGTTCAATTTAAAATGGGAACACGTTGATATCGATAAAGCTGTTGATTTGGAATTATTTTAATTTATAGGTGGGAGTGGAGGGATTCAAACTAATTCATTCTCTCATTTGATTAGATAATCGTCATTAAATTACTGTAAAAGAAAGACCATTTGATTCATTCTCCAGCCGTTTCAACAGTAGCCCTACCATCCTTGTCCACATAAAGAGGTGATATAAAAGTAAGGGTAAAGTGCCCGTAGGTTCTATCTAGACCATCACACTATTTTCTTTCAATTCAATCACTTAACTATTAAATTACTATCAATCAAGTACTGATCGCTAATATTGGATGAAAATGATGACGTATCAGTTAAATAAATTGTATAATTTTACTTTTTGGTCCCATTGTTTTTACATACTATTAGTTTTATTCATGATTTTTATTTAAAATATTAACTTTAACCAGTCAATTAGACTATGATTGAAAATATTTTCATTTCATTTATTTTATTTTCGGCCAATCAATTGAGGAACATATGTTATCATCTTATTGATAGAAAAATGTGAAATTATAGTTGGCCCCAAAGGAGATCAAACTTAGGACACATTAGAGAGATTTGGGAGTTCACATTTGATTAGAATCTAACATATTTTATGTAAGATTATATTAAAGGTGAAAATTAAAGACAACAAAAAACCACATAAGAAAATTTCAAATCCGGGTCTAATACAAGAAGATCATGCTTAACCACTGGGTAAATTTAATAGCTAATTATATTGACAATATATTCTATATAGTTAAAATTATATATAATAAAAAATAATATTTTTTAAATTTTAATATAATTTAAAATGTTCATTATTCTTTTAGAAAGAATATTTAATAATTTTTTATAAACATTTTAAATATATTTATCAATAGTTTTAATATATATTAATAATTAATAATTAATAATTTATTGCATATAAATCCCTTTGATTCAATTAGACGTGTTAGATTCCAAAGCAAAAACCAAATGATTGTTCTAGAATGGTTATTCCTCACAATGGCTGCTTGTGATGCAGCGGAACCATGGCAATTAGGATTTCAAGACGCAGCAACACTTATGATGCAAGGAATAATAGATTTACATCACGATATCTTGTTCTTCCTCATTCTGATTTTGGTTTTCGTATTACGGATCTTGGTTCATGCTTTATGGCATTTCCACTATCAAAAGAATCCAATCCTGCAAGGGATTGTTCATGGAACTACTATCGAGATTCTTCGAATCATATTTCCTAGTATCATCCCGATGTTCATTGCTATACCATCATTTGCTCTCTTATACTCAATGGACGAGGTAGTAGTAGATGCAGCCATTACTATCAAAGCTATTGGACATCAATAGTATCGGACTTATGAGTATTCCTACTATAACAGTTTCGACGAACAGTGACTCACTTTTAACAGTTATACGATTCCAAAAGATGATCTAGAATTCGGTCAATCACGTTTATTAGAAGTGGACAATAGAGTGGTTGTACCAGCGAAAACTCATCTTTGTATTATTGTATCATCTGCTGATGTACTTCATAGTTGGGCTGTAACTTCTCACGTGTCAAATGTGATGTTGTACCTGGTCGTTTAAATCAGATCTCTGTTTCGGTATAACGAGGAGTTTACTATGGTCAGCGCAGTGAGATATAAGGATAAAATGCCTATTTATACATGCAAGAATTTCAAGTTCTCAAAACAGCATTGATAAATGTAAATATGAATAAAGAAACTTAAAAAGAAATAAAATAAAAAATGCATGAAAAATATCAAAAAAGAAAGAAAAATAACTGGCGATAAAGGTTTAAATTATAGAATTTGACATGTCTGATTATCTGCAACTATGATTTCTTAGGACATATGCAATCAGTCCATCCATTTAAAGAACTATTCTGATATAAATAAAGCTTATTATCATACCTTTTTCAAGTACTTTTTTTGAATCTTTAATGCGTTTTCACATGTCTTCTTGGCATTCAAGTTTCCAACTACATCGCCGATTATCTGGAGAAATGGCGTTTACAATCAGAGATATGATGCGTTAATGTACCGACAGCGAACCGTTCTTCTCTGACCATCCGTTCTGCACGTTTTTTCTTTCGAACTTCCCACACTGCTTTAACACCGATCGGAGGATGAATCGGCCGTCTCCTATGTCAAGAAAATATTAGGGTTGTACTCCATTGCCCACATTACCTGTGGAATGGAACCGAACTATGCTTTAGAATCAGCGTGCATAAAGAGACTCGAACTCGAAACGAAGTAATACAGTTACGAAGATAGTATTCCTACATATAACAATCGAAAAACACAAATTAATCACCACCCAAAGATACAACGAATCGACGAAGGAGAACCCTCTTCGGAAAACTACCATCAGCATTTGAAATGCAAATAAATACTCCCCGCCATCGAGCTCCTCTGTTAGACGAATTCAATAAGGTTTAGTTGAATAAGATGAAACTATAAGAGTATGAAGGTGGAAAATGTGGTTTTTCTTATACATTATCGATGTCCATGAAACGCATTCGTTGCATCTTCTTTTGGACTTTCGTTCCTTTTTCACACGAGGTTTCCGATGAACAGAAGTTCTCAAGATTCAAATGGTTTAAAAAACAATGGGGGGAAACGAATGCGTACCGAGGTGTTGATGAAGCTTCGGATCGACGGTTTTTAATTACTTGTGATGATTGGTGTCGTAATGAACTTACCACTCCCGATGATGGGCACCATATTTTGGCATTCAGTCTTCCAAGTGCCATAGCGCTCCATGTGATGCTTAGTGTGATGAATTGTCAGAATGTCCGAATTCAAAAAATTAAAACACAGATGACAGAATATGAGTAACTGCCTAAATGCATCTTCAGAAAAAAAAATGACCTCGACTGCATGTCGTCAAAATACAGAGTGATGCTAAAAGAAATTGTCATCTCCTTTCCTGTCTAAGTTGATTCCAATCGTCGAAGCTACTCTCGGGATTAAATCAACCTAACAGACTGCATATCGTCAAAATAAGGAGTGATGATAAAAGAAATTGTCACCCTTGATTGAAGGGTGAATAGCCTACCCGAAAATAAACAAGTTGTTTAACTGTTTGAGCATATGCAAACCTTACCAAAATATCGTGTAGTCGAGCCGGGAAAGAACCATAGCATTCATTGGATCCGTCAAAGAATTTTAGCGATATCGAGGTGACCATCTTCGTAGAATGCAGCATGCCATCATCTTGTGCTGAGAGTTTTCCCTGCCTGAAAAAATAAACTTGTGTAAGAGCTGTGAAAGATGCACACCCTCGGCCGAAGTCGGGTCTTAGGGACATAGGCTACGCATTCCGGTCTGATTGGATAGAGTGCATCTAACTCCTCTGTTCCGGCAGTCTTAATGAACATCTTAGCTTATTTTTTTGCAGCACAGCAAACCATCTAAACAAGTGTCCCATTCACTGCCAATTAAATACAATCGAACTATGAACATGCTACCATTAAGTCACTTTCTGTTGATGACATGAACTGAAACGAAAAAACACATCATTTAACATTTGAAGGTCGGATCAGTTTCATTGATTCATTCCCTAAAAAACCCAGAAATTTCTCCTTTGAATCATCATCATATTGTCAATGGCGGATTCATGGAATATTCAAATGCAAAGCAAGTTATCATTAAGATGTGCGTCCAAAAATTGATCTTTGCATTGCATTTTTTATTTATTTTAAAGCTTACTTGGTAAGGTGATGGATTCAGATAAGGGGTCAACCGTTTTTGCAGGCATTCCTGCATCAAAACTTTCTTCTTTTCTTTTCTTTGTCGGAGACAAAGACGGTTAGTTGTAGGAACGATGCCGAGAATTATCCGTAAGACGAGAAAAAAAAACTTCTTGATTTTAAACTACAAATTGTTGTCGGACACTAGACAAGACAAGCATAGTTTTCAGAACCGGACCGGTTAGCGAACCGGCCATGCTACCAGTTCACTGGTTTAATCGATCGAACCGGTTCGATCGGTCGGAAGAATCGGACGACATTATAATTATTTAAAAAATTAAATAAAAATACCAAAAATATTTAATAAAAAATAATTTTTTATATCACAATTCATATTCAAAGCAAGTAATAACATATATAAATTAAAAACCATAAAATCAAGTGAAACAAAATGATTCAAATTAACTACAACATAATATTTAAGGTAAAACATATTAAATAATAAATATAACTATATAACTATAATTAAAAAATAAATTTGGGGCTAAAAAAAGCATAACAAAATGATATTGTTTAATTTAAAATTTTTTTTAAAACAATCCCACATGGCTAAGAAACATAGAAGATCATCCCAACTAACTTCTATAAATAATAGAGGTAATTTGGCATTCAAAATCATGGAGTCTTTTGGTAAGCATTGAGTGAACTATTCTTTCATTTCAATCAAGCTCGAATTTTAGGCTTCAATCGAGCTTCTAAATTTTTTTTGAGTTCAAACCTTTTTGAGTTCAAGTTTCAATATTATATTTCGAGTTCGAGTTAAACTTCATAATTTTTAGCTCTTGAGTTTGAATCGAGTTGAGCTTACTTTTAAATTTTTCAAGTTCGAGTCGAGCTCAGCAATACTCGAGTTCGACTTGGCTCGTTTAACAAACGACGTCGTTTGGTTTAATTTTTTTATAAAAAAAACAAAATTGGCGGTTTTTTCCGGTTTTTCTCGGTTTTCAGCCGGTCCGGTTTGAACGGTTCAACGGTTTTGGCCGGTTCACTAGTAGTGGTTCAACCAGTCTAAATTGAATCGGACTAGACAACGATTTCCGGTTAAACCAGCCGATCCGGTCCGATTTTGACTAGTAATTGTTAGATTTTGACGTGTTTCGATCCCAAATCTTCTGATTATTACAGTAGTTCCATTTTTTGGGGGGTGTTTGGACAAAGACTAAACAATCATATTCTTCAAAAACATATTTTTTTGGGAAAATTAAACGGCACAGTCCAACAACCAAAGATGATAGTCATGTGATGTGATCAACAATCAGTCGATGAAAAAAATGAACAAAATCCCATTACTCCTTTCTGCATCTGTTCTTGTTTTTCCAGTACCCAACAAAAAGAATATAAAATAAAATATATGATGTTCATACTTGATATGCATACGTAAAATATTTTAATTAAATATCAGTTTGATTTTTCTTTTGTGGCGGGTAAGTGGAGATTCGAAGAGAGGCTTTGGTTAACTATGAAGAGAGTTGGCACCATTAAGATCAATATTCGGATTCACATGAGTACTTGAAAAAACGAAGATTTTCAACATCCTTTTTTTTTTTTTTGATTTATCATGAACGTTGTAATAAGAGACTGAAATCAAGTAAAGATAGAAGGTAGTTGATTTTTTCAGGATAAAGGGGAGAACACAATAACAGTATCTTTTATTGCATAAGACAAATAAAATTCCGATACATGAATTCTCTTTCATGATGTCTACAACATGTTACAATGGACATAATATGAAATCTCAAGGGGAGGGAAAATCTTGGTAATGGGGGAAGGGAACTCTCAAGGGAAGTAACATGTTACAATGGCTCTATATATGTCCCATTTACACAGTGTGAGTCGAAGTTATGGAAAAAAAACATCAGCCTAGATGGAGCCCATCATTTCTTAAGATTGAGGAGCTCAAAACTTCGAATAGGACTATCGTAACGGCTTCCTCTGAGGGCTGCATTGGCCTCGATAGCCAGCTGGACTCTTTGTGTGTTAAGAATGCGGCCACTTGTTGGTAGTCGTCGATTTTGCAGAATGTCATCTACTTCACTGGCTGAACTAGCCCTGCTTACTATTACAGCTCTTCTTGCAGTTCTGCCGTACCGAGAAGTACTGCGTTTTTTATCTGTATCCTGATGCTGAAAGTGCAACCCAATAAACAATCAGAATGTTGGACGCGAGCGCCCCAAAAATGCAACAATGAATAAACAAATTAAAAGATAGGGTAAATAGGTATTTTGCTGAGAAAACATTCAGTTAGGCTAATGAGTCATTTTTATCTTCATCTCAAGTAAAATCCAAGCCAAGCAAAACCAGACCAAATAGTAACCATTAATATCAATAAATTCGATACTGGCTACAAGAATCTAGATATAAAAATCGGGTAATGAATATCTTTGTTTTCTGCAGTCATTTCTTCAAGTTCTAGTAGTTTTATATTAACTACTTATCACCTTGCATCATGTATCTGTTTTCCGTTTGACCTTTTTACCTTGTGCATGCCTCTACCACTCTTCTACTTTTCTAAAAAGTGCGTGCCTTGATCCACGTCCATGGTGACCAAACCATTTCGAACGCTTTTCTCTCACCTTATCCTCTAGAAGAGCTATCCCAACTCGTAAACCAATATCCTCATTTCTAACTCTATCGTTCCTAGTCTTATCACAAGTCAATTATAATATTCACATCTAGACTACACTTGTCGTTTTATGTATGTTGCTTTTTGTTGGCTTAACTAACATTTCATACCATATTGATATCAATTCACCATCGAATGTGATCACAATTTGATCGCTATTCCTCTTTTTATTAAATGTACCCTCCATATGTTCAATCCTTGATCTGCTCAATCTAATCCTCAAGCTTCTAGTGATTGTCTTGAAAACTCTAATTTAGTATCAACTCCTTTTGTCTCAGCAACCAATACAAAATATCATCTAAAAATATACACGTATGCATTTCATTGTGAATGTTTTCCTTTATCTCATCCTTTAGTATGGCAAAAAGAACAAAAAATATTCAACTACAGATGCCTGGTTATAAATGAAAATCTGTATCCCGAACATCTCTTCCCCCTGAATGTCATTTTCCAAGAGAATAACCCACAAGGGAAAGGAGAGATATTAGTATAACATCATATCATAACTAATGAAAGCATCAAATACCATTTGTCATCATCCCTGTAATGAGAGCTCACCCACAACATAAATGGCAATCTTTTAAATTTCCTAAGTTGTTTTGGATAAACACAATGACCATTTGTAAACAAAGTAGTAGAGTAACAGATAATTAGTTCCAATTAAGTAATCCTAACCAGAAATCTAGTAATGTTAAAGAAAGCAGACCTGGGAGCTTTTACGGTTTTTCAATTGCTGGTTCGGCACCTGCTTTTACACCAGATTGCTGAGAAACGGATGGAAAACATGAGTTATGATCTCCCAAGAAGACAGCGGAGAACTAGAAGTTTATAACTACTTACGTTCCCTTTGGAGATGCTAGAAATCTGCGGTTACTTTAATAAAGTCCAGTCAAAGATATAGTCAAATTGATAACCTGCAGCAATGCCGATTTCAGAACTAAAAGGGGAGGGGGTGGAAACAAACAAACAAAGTTTGACGTCACACCCATGAGGACAACAGTCAGTATGTGCGAGACGGAGAAAAAGATAACAGAATGTTACGTGTGGAAAGAGCATTGATAAGTAAGCCACACTGATTATAACTAACCTTCTCTTATAAACAAATCTCGGAAAAGCCTCTTCAAATATGAATAATATGGCATATCTTCAAACCGCGAAGATCGGCAGTAGTGAAAATATGCTACAAACTCAGATGGATTTGACCTACAGAGACCTGTTAGACACACACATAAATCAATATTACTGAACAAAAGAAACAATAATAATGCGATAAGATAGATTAACAATGTACTTTGGGATCAAATGCTATACTCTCCCTTTGTTAGTAAAACCGGATTGCACTTAACTATAACCAAAATAAAAGAATTAAACCATCCCCCTTTTTATACTAAACATAAAACAGATGAGAAACCTTCTCCTTTCAAGAACAATAGTGGAAATAACAATTCATGGGGAAAATTTACCATCACAAAATTCAATGCTTAAAAAGGTATAAATTATTTATCAAACATGCCAACAAAGTGCGACAGAGGAAGCGATAGAAATTCCTATACCAGTCAAATTAGTAACTCTTTTAAAAGGTGATGGGATTCCTAGAATCAAGTGACAAAATCCTTTCTCCCTATTTCTAGGAGTTTACCTTCTGTAAATAGTCTCTAATCTAATTCTTTGATTTTAGAGATCATTTCATAGTTTAGACTAATTCCTTCCTATAAATTGTAAGTTACTGTTAGAGCAATAAGAAGTAAGAAATACATTTATTCTCCAATTTGAACATGGTATCAGAGTTCTAGGACTCATTCAATCCTACTATGCTCTCTCTCTAGAACCGTTCTTGTTTTATTTTCCTCCCATGAAAGAAAACCAAGAAACTATTTTTGATTCAGAAACCTCACATGTTACCCAAACTATAAATCAGCCTATCCCTCATGATGACATGAATTTTTCCCTTATATCATTAACCACTGTTTAGATGGAAAGAATTTCCTACAGTGATCTCAATCTGTTCTCATGGTTATTCGAGGCCATGGGAAATTAGGGTATATCAATGGAGAAATCCCACAACCAATTACAATGGACCCTACTTATGCTACATGGGAACTCAACAACTCAGTCGTGATGGCATGGTTAATCAACTCAATGGAAAGCCACATGAATTGTACATATCTTCTATTCAAGATTGCAAAATAAATGTGAGATGCAATCAAGAAGAACTATTCTAATATGGGAAATGCCTCCAAAGTATTTGAGATCAAATTAAAACTAAATGACATTTGACAAGGGACACTTGAGGTAACTCATTACTACAACTTGAAGATCTTGTGGGAGGAACTTGACATGTACTATGAAGCAAACTGGGGTGAAGGTTTAAAACAGTCCAAGTTTGTAACACATCACTACAAAGAGCGACTCTATGATTTCCTAGCAGGACTAAATCGGGATTTGTATGAAGTTCATGGACGGATTTTGGGGATAACTCATCTTCCTGCCATTGGAGAAACATTTGCAGAGGTTCGAAGAGAGGAAAATCATCGTCGAGTTATGATAGTAGATAGTAAGGACCAAAAACCAGTGACCACCACTGGACACCGTCCTCCTAAAACCTCAACACTTGTATTTAGGGGTCCTCAATTCTAGAAAAAGAGTGAATCAAGTCAAACTTGACCGAGAGACCGAGTTTGGTGTAGCCACTGCAATTGCACTGGTCACACTAGAGAGAAATGCTTCAAACTTCACAGCTACCCTATAAACACAAAAAATAAGAGAGAAACCAAGTTTTCGTTATCCTCCAACACTTCATCCACCATTGAAAATACCTTGGATGTTCGCTTAACCAAATCTCAACTTGAAACTCTCCACAAAATGCATGGAACATTCACTGCTCATAGATCCTTGGCTATTCAAGGTACTGCCCTTAATATCACTTATGATTCCAGTAATCAGTCCTCCTGGATCCTGGATTCAGGTGCCTCCAACCACATGAAAAATAACTCATCCCTATTCCACAGCTACAACCCTTGTCACAATTGATCCCATATTTAAATAGTTGATGGTTTGTACCCACTTATTGTTAGAACTGGGGCAGTTCAACTCATTGAAAATCTCTCTCTAGAGAACGTCTTATATATTCCAAATTTATCTTGCAATTTATAATCAATTAGTAAACTTACTGAGGATACCGCTGCTCTTGTTGAATTTTTTGCTCTTGGTTGTGTTATACAGGAACATAAATCGGGAAAGATGATTGGCACTGCTAAAGTTGATGATGGACTCTACATATGGAATAAAGATAATAAAAACAGTTTACAAGGAAGATCGACTCTATCTACTTCACACGAGAACACAATTATATTATGGCACCGTAGGTTAGGACACCCAAACTTCCTGTATTTGAGGTATTTGCTTCTCCTGTTATTTCAAAATAAAAATCCAAGTTCCTTAAAGTGTGAAATTTGCCAACTTTTAAAGCATACTCGTGTTTCTTATTCATTAAAACCTTACTACCAATCCTAACCCTTCTCCTTAATATGTAGTGACTTATAGGGGGATAGCAGAGTAAAAAATATTACGGGAGCTATATGATTTATAACTTTTATTGATGACCATACTAGAGTTTGCTAGGTTTATATCCTTAAAGAAAAATCCAAAACACTCAAAGTATTTCAAAACTTCCATTCAATGATTAAAACCCAATTCAATTCCACCATACATACCATCCGTACCGATAATAGAAGAGAGTACTTCAATTATGCTTTAAGTCCTTACCTTGTAGAACAAGGCATCATACACCAAAGTTCTTGTCCTGACACACCACAACAAAATAAAATCTCTGGAAAAAAACTGACACCTCTTAGATGTTGCTCGAGCCCTAATGTTTACCACAAATACTCAAAATTACTTATAGGGAGAGGTTATCCTTACTGCATGCTACCTAATAAACCGAATTCCATCCAAAATTCTTCATCTTCAAACACCTCTAAACACTCTTCAAAAGGCCTTCCCACTATTTCATGTTCCTACCTTACCAACTAAAATATTTAACTACAAGGCCTTTGTCCATAGTCACCAACCAAACCTATCTAAACTCGACCCTCGTGCTCATACTTGTGTTTTTATTGGTTACTCTCCTACAAAAAAGGGATATAAATGTTACTCACTTACTTTGCGTCGTGTATTTGTCTCCCGAGATGTAACCTTCTTTGAAACAGAACCTTATTTTTCAACAACTCATCTTCAGGGGGAGATTCTCAATTAAGATGAGACCCTTAATACCCTCTTTATTGTTCCACCACCATTACCTAATCTCCCACAAAATTCCAATACAAATGACATCCTCATAATTTCTGCGCAGGAAATGCTTCTCACACAACAATAGAATAATAATTCTAACCCTCAAAATACTGATTTCTCAACTGAAAAACAGCAGTAGATTGCCTCGAAAACATAGCAACAGCGTGCTCTTGAACTCATTGTGTATTCTCGGCATCGTTATTCTCCTAAAACTGACATAGCAGTGCCAAACTCATCCACAACCGAAGATTGTTCTACACCAGAGGTAACTCCTAATTCTCCATCTATTGGTCTTCTAATTTATATTCGAAAAGGAACAAGGACCTGCACCCAACACCCTATCTCTCAGTTTGTGTCTTATGGAAATTTATTCAAGTCTTACAAGAACTTTGTGAAAAATATCAACCATGTAAAGACTCCAGGGGATGTGAAGAAAGCACTTGAATCTCCCGAATGGAAATGTGTTGTAATGGTAGAAATGAGTGCTCTAAAAAACAATGGAACATAGGAAGTCTCAGATTTTCCTAAAGGAAAAACAACCGTAGGCTTTAAATGGATTTTCACCACCAAATTCATGTTTGATGAAAATATTGACCGGCACAATGCTTAACTTATGGCAAAGGGGTTCACACAGACATGTGGGCTTGAATATGACGAGACATTTGCTCCCGTTGCGAAACTTAATACTATTTGAGTTCTCTTGTCATTTGCTGCTAATATTATTTGGCCCTTGACTCAATTGGATGTAAAAATGCATTCCTAAATGGTGAATTAGCCGAGAAAGTGTATATGGACTTTCCACTAGGATTTAAAGAAGAAGGTCGAGTGTGCAGGTTAAAGAAATCATTATGTGGGTTGAAACAGACCCCAAGAGCTTGGTTCAGTCGATTCACCAAGGCTATGACCAACAGGGAGTAAATCCAAGGCAGACATACTATGTTCTACAAACACTCAAAGGAAGGTAAATGCTCCATTCTTACAGTCTATGTTGATGATATCATCCTAACAGGAGATGATTTGGATGAAATGAAATGTTTAATAGGGTATCTTAGTACGAAATTTGAACTTAAGGATTTGGGAAATCTAAAATACTTCCTTGGAATAGAAGTAGCAAGGTCTCATACAAATATTTCCATCTCTTAACGAAAATATGTTCTAGATTTACTAAAGGACACTGGCATGTTGGGCTGCAAACCTGCCGAGACTCCAATGTAATTTAATCTGAAGCTAGAAACTAATGAGGATAGAGAAGAAATAGATAGGGGGAGAAATCAACGGCTCATGGGAGATATCACACACTGGTCCTGACATTGCTTTTAGTATGAGTGTTATCACTAGTATATGCATAACCCAAGGGATAAACATCTAGAGGTTGTCGACAGAGTGTTAAGGTACTTGAAGGGAACCCCAAGCAAGGGCCTACACTTTAATAAAATAGCTAGTCGATATGTGAACATCTACATGGATATAGATTGGGCAGGTTCGATAAATGAAAGGTGGTTTACAAGCGGTTACTACAGCTACGTGTGGGGTAACCTTGTGACATAGAGAAGTAAAAAAACATTCTATTGTTGCTCGTAGTAGTGTTGAAGCTGAATATCGAGCCTTGTCAAATGGTATATGCGAGGGAATTTGGATACAACTAATTGGGGAATTTAAAATGTCTCATATCAATTAGCATTTCCTACAATCTGGTTCATCATGATCGTACCAAACATGTAGAAATGGATCGCCATTTTATCAAAGAGAAGTATGCATAACCTACCTACCAACTAAACAACAAATTACAAACTTGTTAACCAAAAGCTTAAACAAGAATATTTTTAAGATCTCACTAGCAAGTTGGGTTTGATAAACATCTACACTCCATCTTGAGGGGGAGTGTTGGAATTCCTAGAATCAAGGGACACAATTCATTATCCTTATTTCTAGAAGTTTACCTTATTAAAATAGTTTTTAATCTAATTCCTTAGGGATCCTTTTCTAGTTTAGACTAATTCCTTCATATAAATTGTAAGTTATTGTTAGAGCAATAAGAAGTAAGAAATACATTTCTTCTCCAATTTGAACAAAAGGAAATCAACCTATCGAAGGATTGCATAAGTGATACATACCTCTATAGGAGTCGATACCTTCTTTTCAGTAATCTATCATAATTTTGCTTTTGGGTACCTGTTTTTAACCCCTGCCAAGGAAGGCTGAAGAGAAGAAATAGTGGAAATTGAATCAAAATCAATGAGAAAAGTAAGAAGAATGAATATGCATTAACAAGTAACATTCAAACATCATCCGGAAATGCATAAAAAATTGAATGAAAATATACTCCACCTTCCTCTCAGGAAATACAAGAGTACATAACCAATGGGTTCCATATCATCTCTCCGGCTTTTCTCTGCTAGTAAAATAGAAGAACATATGTTAATAAAAGTAGCAAAAGTAAACTTGCATCAATATATATGATTTACTGAGGCTAGCACCGATTCCAAGGTGAGTATTCACACTTGCATATCGAGTTGTGCCCGTCAGGTTCTTGTTTTATCTGCGGCAAAGAATTTGATAATTTGATGCATGTATTATGACAAGATACTACACAATTGTGAGATCTTCAAATATGAGATTATAGAAGTCAACAGAAAAATAATTACCTGTACGGGATGTGCTTATGAGTCTGAAGATCCCTATACTTCTTTGCAAGACCAAAGTCGATGATATACACCTGTGAGGAAAAAAATAAAAGCAAAAAAAATGAAAATGATACCAGTATGTTGATAATATAAATCATACTTTTTAAGCATAACGAAGTCCAATTCCCAGTAATAGAATAATACTCTTATTGTAACCAAAACAGAAGGTGATTGTACTAGCAATCTAATGAGCATGAACATGTTAATTTGCCAACATAACATACAAGAAGTAACCCTAAGCCCATCAAGAAGTTGTCAGGCTTTATGTCACGGTGAACAAAACTTCTTGAGTGCATATATTCTACTCTACTAATCTGGAATAAGAAAAGTAGAGGTTGGAAAGAGGGAAAATATAATACGAAAATAATCTGAAAATGTATTCGTTACAACAAAAAGCTATATACTTACCAATTGATCAGCAAGCATCAACACTGTTTTTAACGAGAGTTTCCTGCTGTGGTAGTTAAACAAATCTTCCAAGCTAGGTCCAAGAAGATCAGTTACCATGGCATTGTAATTCGCCTCAAGTCCATACCATCTGAGGTGGGGAATGCCAGCTATATCAAAAAGAAATCACACCAAGTTATTTATAGAAAAAATGTTCTTTTAGAAATATTATCCAAAAACAAAATGAAAGCACCAAAATGTACAAGGCAAAACATGAAGTTACAGCATGTCCCGAGAAAGCTGCATACTTGCATATTGAAAAAATTGTTTATAGAATAGGTTGATAGTCCAAAAATCATGGAAATGAAAGAAGACTTGTCATTTTAAACCGACAGTAACCAAGTGTAATGCTATGAATAAAAAATTGAACTGATTCCATCAGATCAGAGCTTGCATGCCCCCTTCTCATATTAATAGTGAAGTACAAGAAGGCTATAAGGTCAAATTATGTAGTAATAAAACATTTTTCCAGATAAATACATAAATGATAGTGAGGCAGAAATAGAAAGTTACTTCCTCCTTGAAGAAGCATATACAATTTTGACTCGTAATGGAGCTGCGGAGGCTTGGTCTTCACAGATTCCTGAAATTAGGAACAGGAAAAGAATATATATATACATACATACATACATACATCAATCCATCAACCGACCAACAAAAGAGACTACCCAAAAAATCCTCAAGAAAAGATCACATACCATTTTGACAACGACTTCCTCCCCGGTCTGCACATTAACCCCTTCAACTATTGGAAATAAAACACTCACACAAATAACTTTTATTGAAACTCAAACAAATATTACAAGAGCACTCTCACTCAAAACCAATAACCACAACTCATTCTTATAAGACTTTGCTTCTTCACTCACTTAGAAGCTCTTAATTTTTCTTGATGCTTAAAACTAAAATGGGGAGGGGTATTTATACTACTCAAGAACAATTCTACACCACACAAATAAACTAATTTAAACCATTACAAATTCAACAAATACCTAACTCTCACCTAACTAAATTGATGTAAGCAATGACATCATTACTTAAATGATCTAAGCAATGACATCAATTTAGTTTGGGTTTGGGTTTAGGCTCCCATAATGGATCAAGTTTATGATCCAACACCCCCCTTAAACATGATCTTGTGACCCCTAGTAAGTTCCTTAATCTTATGAAGTCTTCATTTTTCAATGGCTTGGTAAAAGTATCGGCAACTTGATCTTGTGACTTCACGTATTCAACTTCCACATCCTTTATTGCAACACACTCCCTTATATAGTGGTAGCGAATATCGATGTGCTTGCTTCGATCATGGAATACTGGATTCTTTGCTAAGGAAATGGATGACTTGTTGTCGACACAAACCTTGATAGGCACTTCTTGTATCAAACCTATCTCCTTCAATAGATTTCTAAGCCAAATTGCATGACAAACACATGAGGTAGCAGCAACATATTCTGATTCACAAGTGGACAATGTGACAATCGGTTGTTTCTTTAACATCTATGTGAAAGCAGTATCTCCCATGAAAATACAAATCCAATAGTGTTCCTTCAATTATTTATGTCTCCACCCCAATCACTGTCGCTATATCTAACAAGCTTGTAATCATTAGAAACTGAATAGAACAAGTCGCAGTCAAATGTACCTTTTAGATAGCAAAGAATTCTCTTTGCAGCTTTAAAATGGGTGGTTGTTGGAGATTCCATGTAGCGACTAACCAATCCAACTGCGTGAAGAATATCGGGCCTCGTGCAAGTTAGATAACGTAGACTTCCTATCAAACTTTTGAAGAATGTTGGATCTACACTTTCGCCTTCTTCATGTTTGGTCATCTTGATCCTGTATTCTATCGGTGTGCTTATTGGCTTACAGTTCTCCATCTTGAACTTCTTCAATATCTCCTTTGCATAGCTTTCCTGTGAAATGAAAATTACATCCTTTTGTTGCTTAACTTCAATGCCAAGGTAGTACGTCATGAGCCCCATGTCTGTCATCTCGAATTCTTTCATCATCACATCCTTGAATTCATTAAACATGCTTGGGTTGCTTCTGGTGAAGATCAAATCGTCCACGTAGAGGCACACGATCAAAATATCTTTATCTTTGATCTTGATATATAGAGCATACTCGTAGGGACATTTGTTGAAGCCATTCTCTTGGAAGTACTTGTCGATTCGTCTATTTCATGCCCTTGGTGCTTGTTTTAGGTCGTAAAGAGCCTTCTTCAACTTCAACACCTTCTCTTCGTGCCCTCTGACTTCATAGTCTGATGGTTGCTGAATGTAAACTTCCTCTTCAAGAACTTCATTTAGGAAGGCAAACTTTACATCCATCTATTGTATCTTCTACTTGTTTTTAGCTGCCAAAGAAATGATTAGTCTGATAGTCTCTAATCAAGCAACAGGAGCAAATACCTCATCATAGTCAATTCCAGCCTTTTGACTATAGCCTTTAGCAACTAGACTCGCCTTGTGCCTTTTAATCTCTCCTTTGGCGTTTTGCTTTGTTTTGTACACCCATGTGACACCTATCTCCTTATGTCCCTTAGGAAGTGAGGTAAGTTCCCATATGTCATTCTTATCGATGGCCTTGATTTCTACGTCCATCGCATCTCTCTATTTCTTTTCTTGTACCGCTTCTTGAAAGCTCACTGGTTTACAATCGGCAAACAGATAAAATAATGTAAGATTATCTTGTCGTTTAGTTACCTCATAGAGATCTCTAAGGCTTCTTGTGCGTTACACAACTCTTTCACTTTGACTCCCACTTGATGATGACGAAGGTGATGAGTCTCCTTGAGTGGTTGATGTTGGTGAAGTGGGTGGAGTTTCAAGCTCTTGTTAAGGTTCACCCAGTTGTTCCCTCATTGTCTGCTCATCTTCTTCAAACTGAGGAAAGAAATTGAAGTTATCTACATGAGAGTTAAAATCCTATTCTCCTTCTTCGTTGAAGAATACATCTCGACTAATCACAAACTTCTTATTGTTTGGATTTTACAACTTGTAGCCCTTCGAATTAGCATCATAGCCGATGAAGATAAAACTCTCGCTTTTATCATCAAGCTTCGTTCTTCTCTCGTCTGGTACGTGAACATGGGCTATAATTCCAAAGGTTCTCAAGTGGGAAACGCCAGGATTTCTTCCACTCCATGCTTCTTGCGGTGTCTTTCCCCATACACTTCTTGTTGGAGATCGGTTTGTCAAGTAGACTGCACACGCTACTACTTCCGCCCAAAATTCCTTGGGTAGTTCTTGCTTTTGAGCATGCTTCGTGCCATGTCGAGGATTGTTCTGTTCTTTCTTTCTGCCACACCATTTTGATGGGGGATCTAGGAACTGTCATTGGTCGACGAATTCCATTTGCTTCACAGAACTCTTGAAACTCCCTGGAAGTAAATTCTCCACCTCGATCGGATCTCATGGCTTTGATCTTTCTACCGTTTTCTCTCTCCACTGCTGCTTTGAACTTCTTAAAGACTTCAAAAACTTCTGACTTCTGTTTCAAGAAATATACCCAGGTTTTTCTTGAAAAATCATCAATGAAGAGAAGAAAATAGTTACTGTTACCGAGAGAGCTTGGCTTGATCGGTCCACATACACCGGTATGGATGAGCTCAAGTGGCTTCTTGGCTCTTATCTCTGACTCCTTTGGAAAGCTTTTCCTGAATTGTTTCCTGACTAGATACCTTTCACAAATCTGGTTAGGATGGTTGATGCGAGGTAGTCCCTTCACAATCTCCTTCTTAGATAATAACTCTAGACCTCCAAAATTGAGATGCCCAAATCGAAGATGCTAAAGCCATGATGCATCTTTGTAGCAAGCTTTCAGGGACTTTGCAACATCATTTTGTATGTTGATCAAGAACATTCTATTCTTTGACATCGACACTTTAGCAATGAAGTTATTCTTATCATATTTTATAGAAAGATTGTAATTATTCATATGAATATCATAACCTTTCTCTACCAGTTTCCCTAAACTTAAGATGTTACTTTTCATATTGGGCACATAGTAGATATTTGAAATAAATTGATGTCTCCCATCTTTCAAACAGATAAGAATGTTACCTCTCCTTTTCACTGCTATTGTGGAATCATCTCCAAACGAACCATTTCCACTTATTGACTCGTCTAGCTCCATGAACATGTCTTTCCTTCCATACATGTGATTGCTTACACCACTGTCAAGATACCAGGAATTTGCTTGGCCACCATCAGTTTCCTTTCGTGCTAGAAGAAGAGTTTCTTTGCCATTTGTCTTTTCCTCCACGTAATTAGCCTTCTCCTCAATTTTTTTTGTTGGGAGCTCTACATTCTGAAGCATAATGCCCAAACTTCTAACAATTATAACATCGAACTTGAGATTTGTAATGCCTTGAGTTTGGATTGATTCTTCCACGGCCTCGTGTTGAGCTTTCTCATTTTTCATAGTTGTTATTGGAATTGTTATTGTTATAATTCCAGCCTCGTCCACGACCTCGACTTCCACCTCGTCCATGGCATTTACCTTTGCCTAGCCCACGTTGGTTTCTATCATTGCGTTGGCTTTCATGCATATCCTTGAGTTGCAGCTTGAGGAGTTGCTCAGTAAACCCATGCTTCTTCTTATGCTTCTCTTCGTATACTTGCAATGATCATTGGAGTTGCTCGATTGTCATTTCTTCCAAGTCTTTAGTTTCTTCAATCGTCACGATGATGTGCTCAAATTTGGGATCCAACAAACGGAGTATCTTCTCTATTATCCTCACATCTTCTAACTTTTCACCATTTCTTTTTAATTGATTAGAAACAACTACTACTCTTGAGAAATAATATGAAATAGACTCAGATGCTTTCATGTGTAAGGATTCAAATTCACCTCTTAATGTTTGGAGATGAACCTTCTTCACTTGCTCGGATCCTTTGTAAGAGGTTTGCAGCTTCTCTCATGCTTCCTTGCTAGAGCTTGCACTTGAAATCTTTTCAAAACCATCATCATCTAATGCTTGATAGATGAGGTAGAGAGCCTTCTTGTCTCTCTTTCTTGAATCCTTCAAAGTTGTCTTTTGATCTGGTGTAAGAGTAGAAAAAATAGCATCATCCACAATCTCATTATAGCCTTTCTCTATGATATCCCACACATCTTGTGATCCAAGAAGTGCCTTCATTTTGATACTCCAATTGTCGTAGTTGTTGTTGTTGAGTGTCGGAACTTAGAATGGTGCCATACCATTTGCCATATCTCTCAATATAATGAGATTTTATAAAATCCGATTGCACGGATGAATCCAAAACGCTGAAAAACCTTGGGAGGGACTTGGACAACTCGATCAAGGGGCTCCAACTCGGCTGACTCGGCTCAACTCGGTGAGTCAACTCGATTTTATGGCAGCAGTCTTCCGGCAGTGCGTCAGAACTCAGATTGAGAAAATTCTGGCGGCGGCGGATTCCTCTCATCAAGACCTTCGATCTTTCCAACTCGCTCTGATGCCACTTTGTAAGAAATAAAACACTCACACAAACAACTTTTATTGAAACTCAAACAAATATTACAAGAGCACTCTCACTCAAAACCAAGAACTACAACTCACTCTTATAAGACTTTTCTTCTTCACTCACTTAGAAGCTCTTAATATTTCTTGATGCTTAAAACTAAAATGGGGAGGGGTATTTATACTACTCAAGAACAATCCTACACCACACAAATAAACTAATTTAAATCATTACAAATTCAACAAATACCTAACTCTCACCTAACTAAATTGATGTAAGCAATGACATCATTACTTAAATGATGTAAGCAATGACATCAATTTAGTTTGGGTTTGGGTTTAGGCTCCCATAATGGATCAAGTTTATGATCCAACATCAACAACAAAATGAAAATCAGAAAGGATACAATGTTGTCAGGAAAAAAACATTTTCCACTAGAAAAAATAGCAAGACATCAAAGAGATTTTGGTTGTTATACCTAAATAGAGTTCTCCAAAAGAGCCATTGCCAATCTTTCTTACAAGCTTGAACTTACCACCAATCACATGATCCATTCTTGACCAAAAAAATAATACTGCTTTCAATAATACTTAATAACCCAAAGGGGATCAACCTAAGCTATTTTTCACAGGGACCAAATGTGTAATTATATCTATTTTGCTAACTGTCACATCAGCAGTTTCGTTAAATGTTAACGACAAGTGATGTAACACCCCAATTTAGGGGCTAAAATTAAGAAATTATAAAGTGGTGGATTTAATTGATATTTTGAAAGAAACATTGGGGATTAAATTGTAAAGTTTTAAAGTTGGTAGACCATTTTATAAAGTGCAGGAAATTCAGTGGCTAAACCCATGATTTAACCATTTCTTATATATGATGAATTATAAGCTCCTCCCCGTGCGCAGGTTTCATATTTTCCAGATTTCCCTTCTCCAACAACCCAACTTCCAACTCCGATCTACTCGCCGTACGACCTCCAAACGACGAGTCGAAACCACCATCGTGTTCGTTGTCAATCGAGGAACAAAACCCCTCAAACCTTTCGTCGTGAATCATCGCCGTTCATCATGAATTTCAGTCGGAAGTATCGTCGGTAATAACTCGGTTTTAGTTGGTTTTTCATCGATTCACGACGATCGGGTCATCTGTTTACGACACCTCCCGCACCATCGTGTTCGTTGCATCGTTCCGAGTTTGCCGGTGTCATCCTTGGTCTCCGTCGACAGCGGCGCGTGAGGAGGTGAAGCGGTCAAAGTTTCCGATTTGTTGAAATCGAGCTCTCCGCCGTTCAAAATTGTGAACCGAGCTTTGTAAGTATCTCGAAATCGCTCAAAATAATATTTAAAAATTTTTCCGGGATTTTAGCACTGTTCACGCGCCCCCACGAACCGCCACTGCGCGTGGGGAAGAAAAAAATGACCGGTTTGACCGGTCACAACTCGACCCGACCCGTTGACCCGATCCGACTAGTTTACCCGACCCGACCCGTTTACCCGTTGACCGTTGACCCGTTGACCGTCGTTGACCATTGTTGACCAAAACTTTGACTGGCTTTGACCGGGCATTAAACGACCTTTGACTTCGACCGAGTATACCTATCCTGACATTTTTCGACGTTCCAAATCTGATTCCGCTGTCCGTTTTTCGAAATTTGAACCCGAAGGCCTCGAAATTGCTGGTCAAACCCGTTGACTTTGATTTTGACCGAAAATTCCAAATTTCCGAAAAGTCACATTTTATGCTTTCGACGTCCTGAATCCGAATCCGAAGTCCGTTTTGCCAAATTCGAACTCGGTAAGCCGTCTTTCACTGATTTATCACCCGATTTGATCCGTTTATCGCAATTAAGCTCCGTTTCTGATATAATTTATGTTGATATGTATCTGAGGAATTATTTGAAGTTGAATTGAAGATCAAAGGCATTCGAATGGAATTTTTACGGTCGATCGGTATTGCACGGAAATCGAGGTAATACTTTACTACCTCTTTATGCTTTATGGAACATGTTGATATTGGTAAATGCATGAATAAGATAATGTTGGTCACTTTTGTGGAGTTGAATAATTTATTCACTCGATATGAATGTGGTAGAAATTCTATAACTGAATACAGATCGAATGACTAAGATAAGAGATTGATAATTGTTAGAATTAAATTACAAGTTTGTGATTGGTGATAAAGAAATCAGCTCTGGATTTGTAACTTATATTTTACATCATCAAGGGTTAAATGTTAAAGATACTTGGATGAAAAATTATGAGAATACTCCGATATGGTAAAATTACGAAATTACCCTTATGTTGGAAAATGATAAGAATTGCCACTGAAAGTTGGTTAATAACTCTAAAAAGACATATTGATCCGATATAACTACTGATGTACATAAGAAATGTTAGTTTTATTTGGAAATTATGGATAACCGGTTTTAATCCTATGAGAGTTTGTGAAGGAATCATTTCAAAATCAAAGAATGTTCGGGAAAGCAATTGATCATAGGATCTCTAAATTATAATTATTTTCGTTAAGAGCTAATATTGAAATTATCTGGTTAGAAATTACGAAAATACCCTTGAGAGATAAAATAGTCTGAATTGACCCTGAATGTGAGAGTATTTTGAGGATTTGTACTTAACTCGATTAAGTACGAATTTAATTGTTAAGATCCTGTCTTTGTACAGAAAAATTTATAATATTTCGTTTGTAAAATCTGAGAAGACACTTGACCCGAAAATATTCGAATAAGGAGTAAATACTTGAAGAGTAATTTATCGGAGGTATTCTGCTGACAGAATTGTTCGAAATGACTGAAGTAAATGATAAAAATGAATTAAATAATAAGACCGGATGGAAGGAAATGATTGAAATATTCTAGAATTATAAAATGACCAAATTACCCCTGGAATAGAAATAACTCAAGAATGTCACCAAGCTCAGGAATGAATGGATATACTCAAGCTTTGAAATGAATAGAAAAAAATGTTAAGCACCAAAATGACCAAAATGCCCTTATGACCTAGAATAAGTAAATGTCTTGGATTAATTAAGAAATCCAAATAAACATGGATGTTGTGCTACCAGTAAAAGTTGTGGAACGCAACTTAAGTGATTAACCAACGTTAGTACTATATCATTACCTGAATGATATAAGTATCACTTGAATGTTTGTTCATCTTCTCAAATTTGGATCGATGATAATTCTGGAAGTACTTGGCGCAGCTCAACTCTAGAGCGCATACAGTACTAATAAGTGGGTAGTCGTTAGTCAAATCAACCATGAATACCAGAATGACTATATTATATGAATAAATTGAAATGAAATGAAGTACAACATGTATTTGAAATTCAGAAACGTCTGAATTATTCTGGAAAACTTTAAAGTAATCGGGATAGACTTGCTTACCAAACGAACTAAGTAACATCAATGACTAAGGATTAAATAGGTGATTTGATGAGTTTGGAAACACTGTTGAACTTACATGATGAATTGTCATTATGGGTTATGAGCCATGGATCAAGTACGTCAGTATTTCCTGATATTGTTGAAACGTGGAAATGAAATAAAGATCGTTGGAAGATTTATTCAGTGATGATTATGGGGATGATCTATGGATCTGCACTATGGTATTAAAGAGTGAATACACTGGAAGGATAATGAATTGACTTGTTGACATGCATCAATTTGAGAGTTGTGTAACTCGAGTTGTTTGATAATATGATCGATAGTCGTAGATTTTAAATGACTTGAATCTTCGATTCTATATTTCTTCTAAAATCACTTCGGTCATGTTTGAAAAAAAACAAGTAACGCAGATGGAAAAGATTCTGAATATCTCATTTGGTTCAATTGGGCTGAAATCCTATGAATTTAAAGTATATTCCTGAATACCCCTGATTATTTGGGTAATGGAATCACTCGCAGTAAATCTGAATTTAGAATTATTATGTATAAAGGTTCCTGAACGTTTTCCTAAAGCACACGAAAATATAGTGGGATTATCAACATTAAATGTCTGGCTAGATCGGTTAGTAATCGATTCTCCTCAATAGGACCTTGTTCCAGGAATTTGTTCAAATTTCATAAGTTTCATGTTATCCAAAATGATAACTACAATGGCCTCTGGCAATACTTGGATTCTCTAGTGTGTTCCCTACTTATTACTGAACTGTTTTATTGGTTTTAATATGTGGTACACCGAATTCATTGGTTATTGTTTTATGGATGCACCAATTTTATGTGACAATTTATGGAATATGGCTGCTATCTAATTTTTGTTTTGAAATGGTATATGATTACCATGTTTTTGGATTTATGGAATTTATGTCACGGTGCAATTGAATTTTGGAATTGTATTACGATGGAATAGCTCTGATCAAGCTAAATGGGCCTAATGTGACTCTTGAGGGCCCCAAGATGTTTCATTAGGTCGGCTTTCCTTTGCTGTGTGCTTAGGGTAAGCTATATGGACTTATTGACTTGGGCTTAAGGATACAAGCTTCAGAGCCTATCCTTAAGTCGGCTTTCTTTTTGCTATGTGCATAAAGTAAGCTATATGGAAAATAATTTTTGGGAACTACTGATGGTGTACCAGAAAAGGGTTTAAACTATGATTTTCAAAAGTTAAACTCTTTTACGAAATTGTGAGATTTACTGGACTATGATTTGTACCTATTATGATTTTATTTTACTGTTGGAACACACTAGACATCCTATTCAATCTCCTGAAAATGTCATACTTTGAAAGGTTTCTTATGAACTGAGATTCATGGCTTCTACTCGATGAACTTCTAAGGGAACCCCAAATTATTCTGCAAGCTGGTATACGTATGATTCAATAAGGAAATTATATGGCTTTCCATTTATCTACATGTCATGAGCATCATCTGGTAGTTCTGTATTACTGAGCTTTCCAAAGCTCACTCTATTTCTCACCTTTTCAGGTTAAAACAATTGTACCAGTGCATCTATCGACTTCAGTAAGGGAGTTCTTCCGGCGTGGTTGCAGAGTATGGTACTTGTGATTAGGGGGCATGTAATTGTATTTTGATTTATATACGAGTTTGGAAATCTGTTTTATTTTTAAATAGTGATAAATGATTTTATAAGTTTACATGTTCTGATAAAAAGTTTTAAAATTTCCGCTATTTTTACGGTGGGTCGCTCCGGTGACCCTAATGTGACTTCCCAAATCGGATCGGGCTACCCGCATCGGTTTGGGGTGTTACATTTAGTGGTATCAGAGTTATGGTTTAAATCAAAATTTTTCAAGATAGACCGGCCGGTCGAATGTCAAAATATGTCTGATCAGTACATGCCCCTAGACTGCAATCATACCTCTCTGAGCCGGAACTCCAGGGCTGAGTCCCTATCTATAATGAATAAACCAAAGTTTCTATCCGTTAAGGCTATACTTGTACAAAAAGGAATACCAGTAACATCTGTCTTAACGCAGTAAAGTACCTTAGCCATGTGAGAGTTATTCATCTGAGAAATTCTGACTCGACTCCAGAAACAAAATTGAGATATGTTGCTGCTCTACGAGCCTATTCACGTTACCAAGGCTGAATTGATTTCACAAGGATAAAGTTGTTTTGATTACTTACTTGGACTGAGGGAGAATTCTGAA